GGCATGATCTTCTGCTGGGTCAACCGCGATAGCCCCGTCCTCAAGATCCGTGGCTTGCCGCTGTCCTTTGCCGCTATCTTCTGTCTTCACCTGTACTGGATTCTGGCCCAGATCACCTATCCTATCGGTGGAACAATGCCGGCCGTTCTGGCCTACGATGTTCAGTACTTCGTCATGGGAACCTGGTTCCCGCTCGGCATTGCCTTGTTCCACGCATCCAACGCTCGTTTCTTGCACGTTGCGAAGCTGCAGAAGCTGCATTTTGCGAATAAGGGAGAAAGAATCAAGCGAGGAAAGCTCGGCTGCGATGGTGCCAGGACATCCTGGCTTTGCCGCCTGAGGAACATGGACTATACAACGAAGATCATGATCCCCATCGGTCTGGGGTTGGTTGTGCAGGTACGTAAGGTTTTCCCACATACGCAAGGATTCAATCTGACCAGGGGTTGCTTGGTCTAGGCATGCTTGACCATTGGCATGTGGCTCGCTTGCAAGAAGTATCACCCGACGTTCGGCATTCCTGGCACAGAAATTCGCGGTTCCAATGTCGTGGAGCAACTGGTAGACCTGGGTCGAGGATGGGAGTGGTGGCCGACGGTAGTTTGGCAGTTTCTCTGGTCGTGGATAGTAAGTCACCATTGATGTTAGAAGCAACATCGACAAGTTCCTAACGTGAATAGATCGCCCCCACGATGCTTTGGAAGGCTTGGGGCATCCGCGACACAATGGGATGGCGAACGCAAACCATCGGTTGCTGCCTCGCCAGGTGTGTAACACATTGCGTTGTCCAGTACCCTTCATCGTTGCTCATCTCTATCTAGTCTCCACGCCACACCGATGTTCCTCATTGCTTCCTACGTCCCGGCGTTTGCGCCGGTCAACCAGTACTTCACTCCAAGCCAGTGGTAAGTCCTCAGCCTGGCACCTGTCGTGTCAGATCAAGAAACCGCAGCTGATGATGGGATCTAGGTTACATCTCTCATCCATGGTTTTTGAGATATTTGCCGTCTTTGTACCGGCATTCCAGGTTATCCGACTGCGAATTCTGAACAAGAAAGCAAAAGATGCCAACGCCAAGTGGGACACGTCGTCTCAATCAAGCACTCTGAGGCCCATGTCTAACGCTATGGGCACTTGCGTCAACTGCAGGCGCGAAGCCTCCGCCAGCCAGTTGGAGAAGGGCCTTGCAAATGTGTACCAATCAGACAACATCGAAGTTGGCCCGGAGCCGGATAGCCGTCTGCTCACGATGAGTGCTCTTGACCACGCTCTCCGCGAGAACACCGGTTCTCTGCAAGAGTTCTCGGCTCTTTGCGATTTCTCTGGAGAGAATATTGCCTTCCTAACTCGTCTGGACGCATGGAAGACCTCTACTTGGCCTCAATTTGCTCTGAACTCGAAAGCTCATTCACTCAGTGGTGAAGAGATGCTGGAAGCCTTCAACAGCGCCCTCGACATCTACGCGGACTTCATCTCGATCAATCTCGCCGAGTTCCCTCTTAACCTTCCTTCAACCGAGCTCAAGCATCTCGAAGCTGTTTTTGAGAAGCCCGCTCGCATTCTCTTCGGCGAAGACTCTTCACTGAACCACATCACCCCCTTCGATGATGCGTATCACACCCGTAATGGTCAGACCTCAGGCAGTGGACAGGACATCCGAGGCCAGATCCGCTACACCGGCGAAATTCCCTCCAGCTTCAATCCCAATGTGTTTGACAGCGCTCAGGGACACATCAAGTATCTCGTTTTGACCAACACCTGGGCCAAGTTTGTTAAAGAGATGCACCAAAGGAGGCGGTCAAGCGAAGCAAGCAGGAGTGTCATATCGACAGAATCAGAGACATCGCTTTTGAGCAGGGTCTCCACAAAGGTTACAGATATGATGCGTGGGAAGAGTCGCTCGGATTCTTCTTCTTGAAAGCCTTCGTGACAGGTGTACAGTCACTCATTCATTCGTTTCTTCCTCTTTGCTTCTATCCAATACCCGGGAGATTTCCCACACCTACACAAATGTAATCAGACATTTAAATAGTAAAATATATCTAAAAGATTCGATAGCCAGTTACCTACCATTGATACAAAGATCTCAATGGAAGAAACGTATAGCACAGTACTTTGCAGTAGTAAAATATCTGTGTAATATCATTTCTATCGCTGGTTTTGGTCCAATCATTACAAGACTGAAATGCATTGAAACGTCCCAAGCGGGAGTTTTCTTAGGATTTGATCATCTCTACTTGTAGCGTTGAAGATAGAATCAATGACTCAAACCCTTCGCGTGCGCCTTTGCCACATCCTTCCAGTATCTCTCTGCGCTCTTCTCTCTCATCTTCCTGCCATATCTAGTCATGACAAAAATACTAGCATTCCACACAAATCCAATAGCGCCAACGGTGATGAAAGTGTCGCGATAGCCCATGTGGTTGAGCCAGGGAGTGATGCCGTAGTTGATGGCGAAGCTCATCGTGTTACGAATGATGACGCAGGTGGTGATCATGTCGCCGCTCAGTTGCGGGTATGATGCGATAGCATAACCCAGAGATCCGGCGACCGCCAGAGCGTTGTTGATAGCGAGCGTGAATTGGGAGATAATGAGCCCCATCCAGTGGATATGGTAGGCAACTCCAAGGCCGTAAAGGATCATGCTGAAAGGCACCAGAAACATTGAGGCCGCGAAGAGCCACAGAGAATGTTCCGATTCGGAGATTCCGTTGTTGCGACGCGCGAGGCGAATTGTCAAGATCTTTCCAACCTTGCCGCAATAGTAACCTCTACAGGAAATATGTCAGTCATCATTACAAAACAAACCAAAGCATTTGGACTAACCCGATGATGGTACCAAGAACGCCTCCCGCGTAAGCGCCAGCCACACCGGCAGTAGAGAAGCCGTACATGGTGGTGTACACGGTACCTGTTGTGGCATTCTGAACACCAGACCACACCAAGTTGTTGGCGCCGTACATCAATCTGAATTCAGTTAGGCCGCAGTCCTGCTCCAAAGATACCATTGAACTTACCCAGCGTAAACGACAGAAGGATACGTGAAGCCTCGGAGGGCGCCAAGAGCAATATCCAGCATTCGGTTGGGTCTCGGCTTGTCCTTGATACCTAACTTCTGGACAAAAGTCTTGCGTGGGTACATAACCTGTCCATTCTCGCTGTCGACGGGGTTGGTGGTCGGAGTTCCCTGCTTCTCTGTTGTGTTCGCAACTTTCGACTCCTCCTCGCTGCCAGTTGCAGATTCTGTTCGTTGCGCTTCCGAGATGACGGGTGTTTCATGGTCCTCCAGTCTCGCGGGACGATCGTAGTTGGTCTCTTCCATGAAGAGGAAACAGTACACCAAAGCAATTCCGTTGAAAATTGCGCACCACCACTGCGAGGTGGAGAATATAGTCAGCATCTACCTTAAGACGGAGGTTGAGATGAGGTATCTTACCAGTGTCCACTTCCATCCCATGCCGACGTTGATGAAACCAGAAAGCATAGGAGCAAGCTTGCCTGTCATAGAGAGACCCCATCCATAGAGCGCAAGGTACTTCGGGCGTTGATGAGCGAACCACTACGCACCAATCAGTCTTCATTCGCTCATATAATAATCCTTTGTAAATAGTGCGCCTACAATGTCGGTAATCGAGATTTCGCAAAGTGATTCGACGGGTGCTCCGAAAAGGCCAAGCAGGATACGGCTCGCGAGATAGGTGTGCTTCGTAGTGCACATCGGTGCAGTAGCGAGGATAATCTGAAAGGCAAACTTAGTTAGACAAAGATCTTTCCAGGGCCCATATTGGATGGCTTACAATATTCGCCGCAAGGGAAGCCAAGTAGGCAGGTCGCTTGCCATATTGGAGGGCAAGAGGTTGCCAGATGACGCATCCCCAACCGTAGAAGAGAAACTAAAACACATGTAGTCAGAAACAGTCTCTCGAAATTGCACATCCAGACTAACCATGATTCCGGTTCCATTGTTGATGTCCGCCAGCGATAATCCTGTCGCTTTTCGAATGGGAGTGACGACGGAGTAGACTGCACTACTTGGGATGGCAATCATGATGGTGTACAGCACAACGCATGACGTAGCCAGCAGTTTGCGCTTTCTAGTCCAATTCAGAGGATCTTCTGGGTCCTCTGAAGGGCGAGGAATGAGCACGATATCGTTCTCTCCCGACCCTGACGCGTGCTGCCCAATAACGGAGCCATCTACGTCGATGAGCCTCGAAGTGCCCGGAGGCAACCCATCTCCTTCGGCTTTGGTGTGGTCTTGAGCCATAGTCACAAAAAGAACCCGGTCCTAAGTTCGTGTCTCGAAGACAATGTTTTCTACAACGGTCGGAGAGCAGAATTGGCAAGAATCAGGGAGAGGCCAAACAGAAGCGACGACAAGGCAGCGGCAGAGTATGGGTGCCTCTTTGCTACTTATCGCTCCTGCTGATCGACTGTTTGGGTGAAGATATGGTCTTGGCTCACCGAGGTGAGCTTTACAGAACAGTTCAATGGAGCTATCTTGAAGTGATGATAAGCTGCGCCCGACAGGGGAAGCTATGAGCGCGGAGCATGCGGGGGCAAGCTGATAACATATCTGGGGCAAGGACTACCAGATATCTTTCGGGGATGCTCCGACACCCATCCTACCAGCTCAAAGGACACATTCCATGCTTTTTTCGGGACTCGGATATCTTCATCCAGTACAATTGCTTGTTTGCGAGCCTGGGGAGGCGGGTTTCGTGCGGAGCTGACATGCGGGAGGACTGGATGACCATTGTAGTGGAGAATGGACCCACTTCTGCACTCAGTTATGGCAGTTGACAGCGATAGGCGGAGAGGCGATCGCCGCCGGACAAGATAGCTCCAACTGATAACGAAGAACCGACTGGCTGGAAGAAACCGTACAAAGTGTCCGGGCTCTCTGACAAGCGAAGGTATGAAGGCTGATGATTTACAGAGATTGACGCAAGTGCCGGCATACTGTTGTAACGTCGTTGAATTATTTCCTCCCTGACATCATGGCTATCACGGCCCTTGCAAAGAGTTGGCGAGAGCTAGCCCAGACGTGCATTGACATCCAGAAGAAGTCTATCCCGAAGGATTACGAGCTTCCGCGAAGTCAACTGCCGCCCAAAGATCGCCGAAATGTTCAAAATGTTCCCTACGAGGCAGGAATCCTCACGCCCGAGGAGCTGGAAATGACGGAACAAGATGCAGCGGGTTTGCTGGAAAAGTACAGATCTGGCCAATGGAGTGTCAGACAGGTTGTCACAGCTTTCTTGAAAAGGACGACAATAATTCACCAATTGGTATGGAGGCTATTGGCAAACTTTTGGTGCACATGCTGATGATTCGACGCTTGAAGACCAACTTCGCTACAGAGATTCTCGCTGAATCCGCTTTGCAGAAGGCCGACGAGCTCGATGCTTACTATCGAGAGACTGGTCAGTTGGCAGGGCCGCTGCATGGTATTCCGATCTCAGTGAAGGTATGTGGGAACTTCTGTGTCTACTTTGATGGAAAAGCCCAGATGGCTAAACTGCCCTGAATTCGCAGGAGCACATCGGTATGGGTGGCCGAATTACCCATGCCGGTTTTGTGGCGAAGATCTCGAATATCCCGCCCGAAGACGCGCTTTCGATCCGCATTTTGAAGCAGGCTGGCGCAGTGATTCACGTTCGAACAAATCAGCCTCAGTCTCTGATGGTACGTGACAACATATTTCCCAAATCATCTTCGTCTTAAGACTTGTTCAGCTGACGTGGAATTGTTTGCTACAGCATCTGGACTGCAATAACAATATCACTGGGCTCACCTTAAACCCCCATAACCTCCTTCTTTCTCCCGGCGGCTCTTCAGGAGGTGAAGGCGTTTCCGTTGGCGCAAAATGCTCTGTTATGGGCGTAGGCACCGACATTGGTGGCAGCATTAGAATTCCGGCCGCTTTCAATGGCTGTTACGGACTCCGCCCGACGGCTCTGAGAGTTCCTTGTCTTGGAAACTTTGGTATCACCTTTGGTCAAGAAAGCATTCGTGGGGTTGCGGGTCCACTGGGACAGAGCGTGGATGACCTGGACAGGTTCATGAGTGCCATGCTGGGAGCAGAACCGTGGCAAACAGAAACTTCATTGGTACCTTTGCCTTGGCGGCAAGTAGCGCTGAAAAAGGACATTACTATTGGTGTCATGTTTGATGACGGGTGAGTACTTTGAGCTCTTCTGCATGAGACTTCGAAGATGACTAACAGATGCGATTTATCAGATGCGTCAAGCCTCACCCACCAGTTCTTCGAGCTCTTCAACATGCAACAGACAAACTTAAGGCTGCAGGAATCAAGGTCGTGGAGTGGAAGCCTTTCGACCATGAACGTGGCTGGAAGATAGTCGTAAGTCAAGGCAACTCGTCTTCAATCACAAAGTCAGACATCATACCGGCGCAGCCGCTGACTTGACACGCGAAGTCCTCACTGTACTTCCCACAAGGCCCGAAACCGTACCTGGACACTTTCGCCGAAGGGGGTGAACCAGCGCTTCCACTGACGCACCACGCCTTTGCATTTTCCAAGTCTCGGCCGCTTACAATAGCTGAGAACTGGGCTTTGAATGCTGAGAGAGAGGCATACCGACGCGAATATCACGCTTTGATGAAGGCAAAGGGCGTTGACTTCATCCTTTGCCCTGCATACGTCGGGGCGGGAGTGCTGCAGGGCGGAGCAAAGTACTGGAACTACACGGCCATTTGGAACATTCTTGACCAGCCAGCATCCATTCTCCCAAGCGGACTCAGGGTCGATAAGCACATTGATAAGCCTGAAGAGACATACACGCCAAGGAATCAGCAGGACGAGGAAGAATGGAAAGCATGTAAGTTGATTCCTCCCGTCGATCATTCCAAGCACGAGGAAAGCTCGGTCATGCTAATCATCAGTTTCAAGACGATCCGGATGTTTTTGATGGCACTCCAATTTGTCTGCAGGTTGTGGGCAAACATTTTGAAGATGAGGAAGTGCTGCAGGCAACACGGTTGATAGACCAGGTTTTGAAAAGCAGTGCATGATTTCCGGAGTTTGTGCGCAAGACGCTCGCGCTTTAGACTTTTAAGACCATAGAAATAGATCTAAATCGCCGCTGCGATTTCTACCTTTGGCGTTTTGAGCGCCATCCTGAAGATCCTTCTCTGTTCATACTTTCCTATTGCCAATTACATACTCAAAACCGTCGGTGATTTCTCATTACAGCATCATCTTCTTGTTTGCAGTTCCGACGTCGCAGATTAATTTCAACGTCTATACGACTTGAAAGTCCACTGGTAGCTCGCGAACAAACATCTACAAGGGGGGGGGAGTCGATGCAACGGTGACGTATGGGTCCCGGAAGCTCATCATCGGCGCTTCTAACCGTGTGCCGCGGAATAGATAACGCAGCTGCATCCATTGATAACAGCCAACATCTTGCTGGGTCTCCGCTCGGCCTTTCCTCTATCAGAGCCTATCCAATGAGTTCGTTAGGGAATGTCGAGCGTCGCTGTCAGATGCCTTTTCCAAACTTGTAGGTTTGGTGGGATTAGAACTGGACGGACATGATTGGCGCATTGATCCCCCAGCACTTCCTGGGCAACTGACGGTTGATAGTGACCTCAACCTAGTCGGACTTAATTATATCCAGTGCGATGTGTGGATTCCTGTCGTATGCAGTTCTTTCGTGAGGTCGGCAAGAGCAACACGGGCGGCGTCGTCAACGGTGGCAGCACCGAGATCACCGATGACTGGATGTGCAAGCATCACGAAATAAACACCTTGGCAGAAACGTTTTGCGGATTCGTGTATCATTTCTGAGTTATCTTAAAGAACGTTATTCTCCTTTAGACAGCTCTCCCTTTGACTTCCAAATCTCGTACTCAAAATCGGGCTGAAACTCAGTATATAATGTTTCCTACAGATAAACTGTCAGCGATCATTCGAGCACGAGGAGGAATTAAGGGTACGCAATAGCATGAGCACTTACCGGATCGGCATTGACTTTTGCCGTGAACTCGGCCGCCTTCTCACTAATGTGGTTCTTTGGCAGCCCAGTGCTCTCAACCATGATTTGGACCTCGCAAGACTTCTCCATCAGCGTGAAGAGATAGGCCGCCTCGTCGACGGTGCCTCCAGTTGTGAGTAGACCGTGGTTTTGGAGGATCATAACACGACCCGTGCTTCCAAGTGCTTCAACAATATTCTGGCTTTCCTCGGCATCCAGCACAACACCACCGAACGACTTGTACACAGCTTGTGTGCCCCAGAAGTTACAGCTGTCTTGGTTGATGATGTCCAGTGGTCTGCCAAAAGTTGACCATGCCTTTCCAGCTGGCGAATGTGTATGACAGGCCGCATGGATATCTGGTCGAGCCTTGTGGATGATACTGTGAATCATGAAGCCTGCAGCGTTGACGGCGACTCTGTTGCCCCCTATGACTTGCCCATCCTCATCAATATGAACCATGTCGCTGGCCTTGAGCATACCGAAGTGCTTTCCGAGACTCCGACTGGTCAGTATCTTGAACCACACAAGGGCATGAAGAGAAAAAGAAAAACTCACGGGTTAATCCAGAATGTGCTGGGGTCTACCGGGTCACGGACGCTAATGTGACCACTGGTGCCCTCAGTAAAGCCTTTACGAGCGAAGACTCGGAAGGCGCCTGCCATGTGCTCAAGTTGCCATTGTCGTTTCTTGTAAGGGTCGGTAATGTTGGGGATTCCGGCAAAAGTGAAGCCGCCAGTTGCCAAGGCAGCAACGCCCGTTTTCTCCGACGTCTTCCCAGAAGCAGTTTCCAAAGCGATGGTGCTGGTGCTCTCAACCGGCTCAGCCACCGTAGCAACTGTTGTGGTCGACATGGTGACAATGAAAGGCTCTTTGAGTAAGCTGATCTATCGAGATATGTGAAAAGAATGGCCAGGTTCTCAGTTGAACGCAATCTTATCAATGCCTCGGATTCGCCTTGAATGTGCTTACTCTAGTCAATTCCCACTTCATCTGGTCCGCGGTCCGACATAGTCGACGCGACGCCTCCATACACCGATATTGCTACCCTGCCAGTGTCAAGCTCCACTGCGGCCGCTTACTCGGGAAATTCACAGAAGTGCTTTCGCTGTCGACTTCCCCGTAGAATGAACCCTGCATGAGCTCCACCTGGAGCTATCATGAGCTTAGCCTCTTTCGGCAGGCAACTGATACCCGTATCTTGACCCAGTTCTTCCCCGCGATGATTGTCAGATTGAAGGCCCAATGAATTGCGGAGAAAGTCAAAGTGATACTCTGCCATCCTGCTCTCGCTCCCAACTTCCTTCCCGTCAATGTGAACGATGCAGCTTGATTCCATGCACCCCACGGTCTCCGCGAAGCAGCCCGATGCAGTTTCAAGCTCGCTTGAATCCACCCAGCCGTAAGAGGACCAAGACTTTCACCGGCTGCTGGACTTGCCGCGGGCGCAAAGTCAAGTGCGACGAGATAAGACCCCATTGCCGCGAATGCCGTGCAAGAAATTTGCAATGCGAAGGCTATGGGGCCCGTTTGCAGTGGCTAAGTCCGGACACAGGTGTCCCTACTCGCAAGGGTTCTCTTGGTCCTGAAGAGGCAGGATTTCCATCGAGACGAGAACTTCCTCTGTGTAGGTGATCCATGTCAGAGTTGAACTCTTGACTAACATAAGGATTAGCACCTATCAAGCAGGTTCTATCATGGAGTCAAGTTGATGGCATCTTAAAGACGATTGAGTCATTTGATGCAGCGTCATCCTTCAGTGAAAATGGGCATCTACACATTCAGAACTTTGGCGTATTCATGGCAACAGGAGCTCTAGAGTCTAATGGTCTCGCACGGAATGAGGACGTCATGCCCAATGGTGGTCACTTCGAAACTAATGTTAGCAACCAAACTCCTGGATCAGACTTGGACGACCATCTCTCTCCGCCGCATGTGATGACGAATCAGACTCCGAATGGTTTTGCATCACCTTCAAACTCGGAGGCGGCGGTAGCATGGGAATTATGCAACCTCCATGAGAGACAGGCTCGTAGGCCTTCAGTTATCAGGCATTGGCAGCCGCAGACTTTGTCTGATAGTGCTTCTGAGATCAAGGCTATTCGCCCGAATACCTCAGAAATCTCTGAGACCCAGCAAAGCCCACCGCAATATCAACGTCACCACACGGAAATCATTCTGCCCAAAAGCCCTCCAATGTCTGTCTTCCCCAGCCAAGATCGCTTCTTGATGCATCACTATGTCCACACAGTAGTGAACATATTCTGTGTCATCGACAATGCCAAGAGTCCCTGGAAAACGATTCATATTCCCAGAGCCATCCAGGGTATCGGGGAGATGGATGTCATGGGATCAACATCCAGAGTGCGCAGTGCCTTGAGGAACGCATTGCTCTCAATCAGTGGCTTCTTCCTGGCAAATGTTCGAGCATCTGAGGCTCATCCCAATGAAGCTGTCAAATGGGTGGAAGAGGCAATGCAGTACCGATATAATGCCATCGGTCTGCTGAAACAGGCAGTTGAGAGTGACTTGTATTCAGGAGGAAGGCCTAAGTACAAGGAATATCTTGCTACCATGCTATCAATGATCACTATCAATGTGAGTTGACAGTTGAGTTGGATATCCCCTTTGTTCCAAGTCTCTAATCGTGCTCTTCTCAGATCATGTCAGGAGATACAAGCACCTGCGCTGTGCATCTAGATGGCGCGAAACAACTCATCAGCCATAACAGAAAATCTAGAGTATCAGGAAAGACGCGGGCCTTGCATCGCATCTACTTTTACCTTCGGGTCATATACGAAAGCACTGCCGTTGAGCCTACTGGTAGTGGAGTTGATACTTCACCAAGCGGAGAGGCTTCCAACCAGCCTGGGCCCTACCACTCGCCCCGGTCGCATGCCGAAGAGCGATTTGAAGAACCTACTGAGATGGCAAGTTTTGAGTGTATCTACGGTATCCCTCGGAGTCTCCTCGTCCTCCTCAAAGATACAACCAATCTCATCAAACAGGTTTCCCAGGCAAGAACGTCTGGCCGGTCTTCAGAGATTTCTGAACCGTTGAACAGTCAGTGCGATAGTCTGGAGAAATCTATTCTCGACTGGTCGCTAGAAGACGAGCTTGCTCGATGTCGTCAAACCAGTACTAGCACAAGCTTTGACATTATCTTCAATCAAACGAAGTCTTTCCATAATGCTTTGATCATCTACTTCGCTCAAAACATTCATCTCCTCAGCTTTCACTACCTTCGGCAGTACGTTGAGGCAGTGTTGCAAGGCATCGAGGCTATCGAGAAGATCAAGACCGACAACAATATTTTGGCAGCTCCAATTTTCTGGCCAGCTTTCATTGCAGCAACGGAAGCATTCGATTCTCAGCAGCAAACTCGTTTCCGGAAATGGTACGAAAGAGTTGCGATCTATGGGATCAAAGCAGTCAGGACTGGGAGCCGAGTAGTGTACGAAGTCTGGGATAGAGGTCCGTCTGTTGACGGACGAGTGACGAGCCTGTGGAGAACTATTATTGAGCAGACCGGGGAAACACTCATGTTGACTTGATTAGGAATTTTGCAACTTTTCTAAACAGGAAAGGCTTAATCCCTGAAGCACCAAACTCTCATTCCCCCCTTGCCACCACGATTTGCCCGGGCATAGTACGGTATGAACACGAGATCTTTTTCCTCGCCACGTTCCCATGGCTTGTGACTATACAGCTTTGAGCCGTTCGTGTTCTTCAGTTCTGTTCCCCTAGCAATCACAGGGGTGACCTCATAGCCCAGAATATCCAGTGGAGAGCCATCCTTCAGGCTTGTCGTCGAGAGGATGACGTTATCGATGTCAAGCTCGTTGTCGACATCTTCGATGCAATACACCAAAGGCCCGCGCTGAACGCATACCTCATTTTTGCCAAGTTTTGGGTTGGCGTAGACGAGCTGCGGCTTAAAGCTGAAGACAACTTCCACTCTTCCATCTGTTCCTTCTGGCAGGTACAGATATCCGTCTTTGCATGTGCCGTCGCCGTTTGACCCATCAACCGTGTAGCCATCCGACCACCCAGGAATCCTCAAAGCAATTGCAACTGTGCCTGACCACGTTACCTCGACCTTTCCGGACCAAGGTGCAGCAGTTTTGATCGTAACCACAGCGTCGCTTCCAGGCACGTGAAGTACACTCTCGATGTACAAGTGGATGGCCACTCTTCGGTCTTGCATGGTGTAGATGAATGCTCCAAGATTGCCAAGAAGCTTTGCGACGTTTGGCGGGCAACAGGCGACGTCGAACCACCGACTCCGCTCCTTCGGTCGGCCTGTGAACGTGCGCATAGGGTTCTCATAGTAAAACGACTCTCCGTCTAGACCGATCGCGCCAAGAAAGCCGTTGTACAGACCAATTTCCATAACATCGGCGTACTCGGAGTTGAGGTTGAGACGAAGCATTCGTTGGCACCAGCCAATCATTCCAAAAGTTGCGCAAGTCTCAGCATAGCAGACACCACCCTCTTCGGTATCCCCGAGCACGTACGGGTGTCCAAATCCCTCCCACTGACGGACAGACCCCAGTCCGCCTGTGATGTACATCTTCTTGTCGACCATGTCTCTCCATAGCGCGGCCAGAGACTTGTGGATACCTTCATGCTTTGTCAAACGCACGAGGTCGGTTGCGGCGGTCATGAAGTACATGGCTCTGACAGAATGACCCACCAATTCAGTCGCATCTGCTAGCCGCCGATCGGCTTGGTGGTAGCCGTAGTCTCTAGGCATCCGGTAAGTCGGTCTGAACTCAAAGCTGAGCCAATCCCCAGGATCGTTTCCTCTGGCCCAAGCTTCTTTGTCAAAGTAGGTCTCGTCCTTCTCATCTCTTGTCCCGCGCTCGAGGATAAAGTACTGAGCTACTTGCAGAAGAAGGGGGTCCTTGGTCATTTCGTATAGCCTCAACAATCCAATTTCGATTTCTTGATGGCCAGGATAGCCGCGTCTCTTTCCAGGCTCTGATCCAAAGATTGAATCAATATGCTGTACAACTTTCATGACCGGTTCCAGAAGCCGCCCGCTGCCGGTCAACGTCTCGTAGGCGACACATGCTTCGATGAGGTGGCCGATACAGTACAGCTCGTGCATGTCGCGAAGATTCGTCCATCGGTTTTCAATTCCTCGCACGGTGTAGTATGAATTGATGTAGCCATCTGGGTGCTGTGCTCCTCGTATGTTGTCCACGGCCTCTTCGACATTCCTCATCATCTCCTCGTCGGCGTGTGTCATGAGGAAGTAGCACGCCGCTTCGGTGGCTTTGTAGACATCGCTATCCCAGAACGGCTGAACAAGGTGAGCAGAAGCCTATATGCCTTGGAGTTCCAATATGAACTATAGCTCGTACTCACATGGGGCTGGGGTTGGTGGCCCTCTTTCCATTTCAAACAGTCCCAATGGCCTGATTCTTTTTGGGCTTTGACCAGAGCGGGTATGGTCTTCAATCGGCCACTGTCACGTAACTGCACCCAGAAGGAAGATGTGATCTCAACATTTCGCGTGGGGACTTCCATGACGAGTCACCTGCAACACCAAAACTGATGCTCACTGTTAGATCATGAAGAAGAAATTGAAAATATGAAGAACCCCGAGCGAAAGCCTCGAAAGTCAGGGATAATGCAAATGAGGGGATCTGAGGAGTCTCAAACAGTGTCTACGAAGCGCTCCAATAAGATTCATGTAGCGAGTGTTGGCACCTCATACGTCACTTGCTGAGGCCATCCAACGCCCGATCTGCAACCTACAGTAGCTAACATGTAGTTCTTACATCCAACTCTATCCCACCCCAGCCTTCAGTAGATTGTGAAGCCGGCAAGGATTGGAGCCGCATGCCGCGGCAAGCGTGGGGTCCGACATCAACAATGCGGGGTAATATCGCCTGTTTACATGCGAGGTTATTGATGCGTACTGCATGTTTAATGGATGCACTTAGCCTAAGATGTCATCTTCCAAGCAACTGTCGTACCGAATGCGAAGTGCAGATGGATTCCTGTGAAGCGTCACGAGACCTTTGGACACAGAATCGCGGGGGTGTTGAGGATTCGACTCCTAGAATTTCTCCGATTGCAGGCCATTAAATGACATGAAGGTAGGGGGGTAGTGTGGCTGTACTCTGAGCACAGGCTCATCCCAACAATATCACAGCGAGTCCAGGGTCCTATGGGCATCCATGGATACCCAATGGAAGGCGAGTTTTCCCATCGGCTTTGAAGAGGCTTTACTGGACTGCCCTAATTCGAATGATCATATGTTTTGCCACATGTCTTTCTCTACTGTCAGACTACATCTTGGGACGTGACAACCGGGATACATGTTAGAAGACATCGAGCTGCATTGAGGTGTGCTGGCGGGAACAACTCATCCCCAATCCCAAGTCGGACGTCGGCCTTGGGATGGTTAGCCTTGAAACACTGAGAACCTCCTTATTGATTTGCTCTCACGGCCACACAAAGCAGAACATCGGAGTCAGACAGCTTAAATTTGACCTGTCCCAGGAGTCTGGAAAGGTATCTGGGGAAGGATCTCGCCATCCCCGCATCTAGACCTTTTACGTCGATGGTCTTGCAGGATACTCAACTGGAGGCCAAGTCCATCAAGAGTCACTCATGTGCGATTGTCGTTTTTTACGTCGGATGGTGTCCTCACCAGTCTACTTATAACTTTCCCGCGATCCATGCAGTATAGAGACAACACAATTCCTTCGATTTTTCAACTTCTGTGCCCCATACAAGGTTCTCTTCACCCTCAACATGGCTCCTGGAACCCCTCCTGAGATTTCTGCTACAGCGCGGCAGCTTCATTCAGGGGCCACTGTGAACATTCCACTTGATAACATGGATGTCAAAGAGGTTCAAGTCCGCTCAGTTGAGCTTACCGACGCTGTCGCCAAAGACAAGCCGAACTACCGTTCTCGATCGCAAGTCACCCTCTGCTGATCATTCTATTTGTCACACTGAGTAAGTCAATGATCGAATCCAGTTTTCTGAAATGCGATGGCTTACTTCCTGCTCGTCAGATGGCTGCATGAATGGATACGACGGCTCCGTGATGAGCTCTGTCAATGCTATGGACCAGTTTCACGAACACTACGACGTTGGCAGAACTGGACCTACAATTGGTCTCGTCATGGCTATCTACACTGCCGGGCAGATTTGCGGAAGCCTCTTCTCTGCGGGAGTTATTGATACATTCGGTCGAAAATACGGGATGGCCGTCGGCTCGGCCTTTATTATTGTCGGCTCTATCGTTCAGGCAACGAGTCAAACTCTTTCCGCGTTCATAGGCGGCAGGTTTATCGTCGGCTTTGGCGTCCCCATGTGCACGATTGCTGCACCGACGTATATCGTTGAGATGGCGTACCCCACATGGCGAGGTCTGGCGGGGGGTCTCTACAACGTCCTGGGTTGGTACATTGGTTCTTTGAGTAAGTCGCCATTGGTCCTCACACTACTGCTCTTCTGACTTTGATGCAATAACAACAGCTGCTACTTGGACGTGTTATGGCACCGCGAACATTCCCGGCGACATGTCATGGCGTGTGCCATACATTGTCCAGGTCGTCCCGGCGGCGGTCATGTCTGCTACGGTTTGGTTCATCCCAGAGAGTCCTCGTTGGCTCTTTGCTAAGCAGAAGGACGATGTCGCCAAGTCGGTACTTATTAAATACCACGGCAACGGTAATCCAGACTCGGCTGTCGTCAGACTTGAATGCGAAGAAATCAAGTTCTCCCTGGAGGCCGAGGCAGAACTGACTCGTGGGAGATGGTGGGATTACAAGATTCTCATTAGAAACCGCGCCAACCGGTATCGCATGTGGATTCTTGTTCTAATCACAGTGTTCAGCCAGTTCACTGGCGGTGCTGTCATCAGCTACTTTCTGCCATGTATGTCAGCACGAGTGTTTTCTTCCAAATTCATTCCTTCCATTTAAATGAACTGGAACTAACGCATACCCAATAGCCATTCTCGAAACCGTCGGCATCACATCATCCTCTCAGCAGCTCCTGATGAATGCGCTAAACACGGTGTTCTCGTTCTGTGGCGGCATTGTTGGTGCATTTTTCGTCGATAAGGCCGGGCGCCGTCCCTTATTGCTCTGGGGCGTCTTTCTATCCGGCTTGGTATACGTTCCCATCAACGTCCTGGCAGCTCTTTCCGGTGGTCACATAGACACGGCATCAGGATACGCATTCATCGCCATGATATTCCTGTACGGTATCGTCATGTCGTTCACATGGACACCACTTCAGGCGCTATATCCTGCAGAGATTCTCAACACCGACATACGGGCTAAAGGAATCGCAGCGGACAAATTTGTTTCTGGTATCGCGAGTTTTATCAACCTTTACGCTACACCGATTGCTCTCAAGGACATCGGATGGAAGACATACACCATCTTCCTGGTTCTTCATTTCGTCCATCTAGTGCTGATGTATTTCGTCACCGTTGAAACTAAAGGAAGATCTTTGGAAGAGCTTGAGGAAATCTTCAACGATCCGAAACCTGTTAAGCGGAGCAAGCAGCTCAGCAGAG